AAGTATGGAATTAGCAATAACTGAAAGTCTTCTATTCACATTTTTCAAAGTTGACTTCTGTAAAGTACTCGATAAATTGCTAACTATAACAACACCAAAGTTGGTGGTCGAAACAGATCTGGAAAACGAAACACAATACAAACTTCCAGATATCTCTTTATCATCTGAAACGTTAATGAAGTTGTACAACTTCATTGGAGCTTTAGTGAATGTTCCATCGCGATATTTGCCAGTTCCTACCACTTCGCTTTCAGGTGACATCACAATCATGAATAAAGAATCCCTGAATATTTATGAACATTACTTTTGCGACTTGAAAGAATTCAATGAAGTTACTTTCAATCAGGAAATTAATCTGCGCTTCTTGCCACATTATGCCATTGATTTTAATTTCTACTATAATTTTAAGCCAGATTTATTGATGAATCAAATTAAAAGTGGATCGTTCATGAACTGGATTACTGGCAATAGATTCAATGATAACTTTTACTTGAATTACGATACATGTGCAAATGTCACTAGTTTGTCCGCAAATTATGAATTTTTTAATCTAGCGGAAACTTCTGACAAATACTCATTCATAGATGAACTTCAATCAATTGAAAAACGAAGACTGAGTCAACTGAACCAAAATGTGGGTGATGATGAAGATTATATTATTGATATTTATGAATTATTACCTATGTCACTAATGCTATTCTCATACATTAAGAACCCTAGTTTTTTAGAGCAATTTACGAATCAGATTCATAAAATTGAACATAAAATTGAAGATATTACACCGAGTGATAATGCATATGTTGAAATTTATGAAATATGGTTATGTATATTGTCTTACACCTTCCAATATCAACACAAATCAATATTATTGCAAGCAAATACGCAAATTTCGTTGCTAGTTTTATTAGAATTAACGTCTCATCACAAATTGATTAATAATAAAGAGGAGCCACTTCTGGTCCTTGAAAACATTAGGAATTACCAAATAAATGAGTTCAAATGGAAGCTTTGTCACCAGAAATTGCCAATAGTTCCAACTAATATTGGCAAAGAAGGGTTTAAATCAAGTTTGTTTTATATTCTAGACACATTACAAATATTTATTAGATTCAACCTTACGAAAAGGATTAACCTATTCAATTTTAAATTAGTCAATGCTATAATTTATCAAATCATACAGAAGTTCAATAACACACAATCAGAAACGTTGGCCATTGATAGTTATCCATGGGGTGAATTCTTCAAGTCTTTAACAAATCTATTGTTATTTATAAAGAAGCACGATCTAGTGGCCACAAAACATATTACCGATTTGGGGAATGTCAACAAATTGAAATCTTTAGTAGAAGAAATCTTCATAATTATTGATCTTTTGCTAAATGAAAAATTCGGTAATATAATACAGATGACTAACGATGTACAGAGTTCTGGAAGCCATATTTTAAAATCTATCAATTATGAGTTACTTTATATTATATTATTAAACTACCACCTAGTTGATAATTTGATGAAGGACTTTTCTTTGGAAAATGCACATCATTTACCTAATTTACGAAATTGCATGAACTTCTTGGATAGTAAATTTCATTTAACTGAAGAATCGAAACAAAACGAAGAAAACAAATCTAAAATAGACTTGATTGACTTCGATTACGATTCTCCAGTTCTAGTCAAAGAGCTATCAGACTACGCGAAGCATCCGGCTACTGAAATTATCGACTCTGAAGTAGTATACAAATATAAAGATACATTCAAGTGTATCAACGCGTCAGACGTCATGAGTGATTCACAAAAGTTGAAAATAATTAACATAGCATTTGAAGTTTACTAGTATATACTATCTATTTGTAAATAATTTACCATATTAATAACAGTAACTATTCCTTATTCTCCAGCATTAGTAAACTAATCAAAAAACGATGAATAGCCTTAAGTTTCTCTCATTGTTCTGAAGAAATCCATACAAGTCGTGAAAACGACTAACAAGATACCACCACCTGGGCCTAATCTTAAAACTTTTGGAATAAAACCTTTGTACAATGCAGTGAACCCTTCTTCCTTAGCTACGGTAAGTAAGGATGGCAAAGTCCATCTGTATCTGGTTGAACCAGCTTGAATTCTGGACTTAACAACATCGAATGGGGTATTCAACACAGTACCGAAAGTACCACCAATGGTACCACAGGTCAAGTCGACAAGAGTCTTTTCAGAAGCGGTCTTAGGCTTTGGCATCAATATTCTGACCTGATGAATCAAACCAAAGTAACCGGCATTCCACATGACATGTCTCCACAAAGTGGATTCTAAACCCTTGTACAACCCAAAGACACCATCTGTCTTAATAATATGCTTTAAAACGTCTCCCATACCATTGAACTTGGAGGATTTATCTTGCAACTTAATCTTGATCAATTCGAATGGAACAACCACAAACGACTCAGTGGCACCTGCTGTGGCCCCTGTCAAAACTGCCAATGACTGAGTCATGGTAGAAATACCAAAAAACCCTCTATAGAACTTCCCCCATTCGTCATTAGCCGCAAATTTGGTAGCTCTCTTTGGTGCTTCCATCAAAATTGGCGCCGAAATACCCTTGTACAACCTCGAGAATCCTTCTTCCTTAACAATTTTCTTTAAGCATCTGATAGTCCCATTGTACGCGTTTGTCGAATCCAATTGTTGTCTAGTCTTAACAACATCCAATGGGTACATCACCAAGATTTCGGAAACCCCAGCAATGGCACCTGATGCAAATTGGTAAATAAATGGTAATGGTTTAGGTGGTTCGACTGACATTTTCTATTTCTGCTATCTATTGTCGAATATTTTTTGATATATGACTTTGAAAACCCTCTTTATTGAAATACAAATCCTTTAAATCCCAAATTTGAAAATCAACAATTCAAATAATCTTTTTAAGTCCGAGAACAAGGAGTTATATACTATCAAACTTTTCAGTATGAATTAACGAAGACCCCACTCTATAACTTTTCACCGGGAAATCAAGGTTCCGATATTTCACGTGCTGATAATTTGATAACCCATTATTGGGCGATACTACTAACTCTGCTACAAAGATAAGCGAAGGCGACGCGTGAATACGGTACATATAGACGTATATACCAGAGTAGTAGATATCTATGTAGTTAGGAAGGTATAGTGGTTCAGTTAACCTGTCGTGCTATCGGGAAAGCGAGCACTTTGGATCCTGTAGCCCGGCGGTGATATGGGTGAACGGGGACAGAAAACTGAAATGTTACTAGAAAGCTCATTTTCACTTATAGAACCATACAGAACGGTAAGGGGAGGCAAAGGTGTTACGGGTCAAGGGACCAAAGGGTCCCAATCGCATTGAGTTTCTGTTTTGAAGCGAACGGGAGTGGCATTCCATTGCAGAAAAACGACATTTCAACGGGATTGCACCAGCGATCCACCCAGACTATGCAGTCAGCCAGTGATACCTGTCTGTAGTGTCCTATTGGTGGCACACAGTGATAGTCGTAGCGATATATGCTGTGCAACGGAGGAATAGACACAACTAACGATATAGTTCAGCCCTGGATATAAAATCCGGGTAATCGCATCTCACTAATTGGACTATAAAATGGTTCGTATAGCACCAAGTGAAAAATATTTATCTTTTCTTCTTTGTGCGGCAGCCAGAACTATTACCGTGTTGCTTGTCTTTTTCAGATATCCCAACGAGTTGGCGAGCGTCAAGTTCCTGGCGAGAATAATATCCGTTCAACCATTGGTTGTTTGGAGCAAAGACCATCTTAACGCCCTTTCAGTAGTTTGAGTTACGTATTTCGAGGAAGATTTATCTTTCGCGGTGTATATTGGAATTGCTGAGGGCTGGTAGGTCAAACATTCTCGTGTAGTTGCGATCCGAATAATTGTAATGCAATAATTCGGATGGCAAGTCTCTAAGGATCACATTGTCGGTTTTCTGCAGATACCGGCAATTGGTTAGTTGTAAAATTGATTCAAATCCATGAGCCTCTTACTATTGCAAACATGCAGTTGAGTACAACTCCAGCGATGATCGACATCTTTTGTCGTTTGTTGCAAACGGTGTCATCTCCAACGATGAATATCAAGCTTAGAACCCCCAAAAATACCCCCACCAAGAGTCCAAGAAGGAGATCTTCGTTCCCATGGGCGTCATCCAAGTCAGACAGTGGATGTGGTGGTGCTTGTTGTTCTGCGTTGGCAGGAGCTTCAGCGGTGGGGACAGCCGTTGTACTGGCATTTCCTGGTTCGGCAGTATTCACCGTTGATTCTATCCATCTCTCTTCTAATTGCCTTATGGTACTTTGTGCATGTTCCTCTTCCTCCAAATCGTTTATCTGGTCTGTTCTTCTAGACGGTAAATTGGTTCCATATATCAGAACAAATTGCCTCCGCAAATCATTGATATCTTCCTGGGAAAATCCCTGTTGCAATAAACGATCGAATCCTATTACCTCCGGAGCTGTAGTTCTTTGTTGGGGTTTATTGTCTAGCTGGTTTTCCTCTGCCAATTGCTCCGCTGTCAACTCTTCTCCAACAACACAGTGGACATATATCTTTTCCTCTGACTGCTCCCCAAGTAGTTTCAGTTGTCTTAGTTTTGGCTCAAATATATCCTTCCGGAAATTCGTAGCCTCGTTTAATACCCTTCCATTGTAAATTAACCTAAGTCTCTTGTTCTCACAACCATTTACTTTCTCTCTGATAGTTGCCTTCAACCAGTTGACATTTACTAGCTTATTAACATCATCCCTTTCGAAATTAATTGACAATGGGATATTTAAATCGCTCACATTCTGAACAGATGAAGATGTGCTAGTAAACCTTATAACGATAGTGTACTTCATTGTTTATATATAATGATCTTCTATATGTATATTAAGGGAGTTATAGAATTCTCATAATTCTGAGTGCGATAAAATAGTTGGCAAAGTAATTTATTTATTTAGCTGTCAAATTTTTTAAAACCAAGCAAAGTCAAAAGTACTATGAGTTCGGTCCCAGAGAAAGCAAATCAAGTGAAAGAATCACTTAAAAGTGATACCTATGAAGAAGAAGGCAATTTGAGATATGCAGCTTACGCTAATAGATTCCGTACCATTTTAGTTGCATCTCATCGTTATGTTGCATATACGTCAGATATAGGCGAATCTTTTCGTCCGGTAGCCCATCCATATCTAGTAAAAATGGGATATGGTGTATCGTGGTTATATATTTTAAGTGATGTTTCATACGCTGCATGGAAGGTGAAGGCCAAATCTGAAGGCAAATACACTGAAGGCATGTATCCATGGAATTATCCATATCCTGAAGCCAACCCAGTTGCTGCCCGCGTATTCCACGATACGCATGAAGGTAGGTTAGTTGACACTGACTGGAGATTGGCAGGGTTGAAGAGAGGTCTTTTCCAGAGTATTGCCTCGATGGGTTTGCCCGCATTCACAATCCACAGTGCAGTTAGATATTCTTCCCTCGTGTTTAAAAACTCGTCTATCAAGTCATTGAAGACATATGGACCCGTTGCTATTGGTTTAGGTATAGTCCCATTATTGCCTTACGTATTCGATGAGCCATGTGAAGTTGCCATTGACTGGATCTTTGATAAAGGTGAAGACCTCTACAAGCAGAAGTTGTCTTGATTCATATATTTTACTTAGAGTCACTTATAGTTATATTTATTTCATATATACTTGTATTTTCATGAGGCTTTCATTGAGGCTTCGAGTAGTTGAGTGTTCCACACTTGTTACAAGTTCTTGCTTCTATATTATTTTCATACAGAAGGATGGCATCTTTAACCTGAGTTCCTAAATCTGTGCAGTGGAATTGAGCCTCATGGTTAATCTCCTTACAACCCAGACAATACCAGCGTAATTTATCGTCACAGTGGGATGGTCTATCTTGTTCGACCACTAAACCAATGGTATTAGCATATCTAACAGGATTATGCGGCGTATTTGGTGGTAAAAGGAATGAATCGTCTTCTCCGATAATAATATCTCTAAATTCGCCATCATCTACAACTTTTAAACACATCAGACCTTTCAATTGGTGAAAATATTCAGGAGTTTGGTTTACATGATAATCTGTTCTTTCGTTTGGTCCTCCAACAAGCATGACTGTAGACCCACCTTTATGGATACAATAGTTATTCACTGGTGGTTGCAACAAATGACTATTCTCTTCTATCCATTTCTTGATGTTTATGGGTGGAGGGAGCATTGGAACTAATTTTAGCTATTATATATTATCCATGACTAATTGTTCACTTCTTTCCTTTAAGTACTCTTTAATCTCGGATAGGCTAAGCGACTGGTGAAAAAAAAAAGAAAGCTTCCCCACCAGGAGTCGAACCTGGAATCTTCTGGTTCCAACCGAGAAGTGGATACGAAATCGTAGCCAGACGCCTTGACCATTGGGCCATGAGGAACGAAGCTTGTAACTTTTGAAAAACACAAATTGTTTTATACTTCAGTTATTTACCAATGCTCTCAAATTATGAGTAGCTAGTAGATTAATGATTTATTTTCAATCTCGTTCCGCTAGGTTTTGAAGTCAATTATTGTATTGAACAGAAGGCTACATTAATCCATATGTAGCATAATTTAGGACGACACAATCTGATTTGCAAAAAACCGGCATCAGACATAATGAAACTACTTAATAAGCCTGATTGATTAACTTGATGGTAATAAAGTTGCTAAACATGCTATGTTGCCTACTTTCGGTACTTCAAGATATTACTATTTTATGTCTTGAAATTTTGAATAGGATGTCAGATAAATGTCACTGTTATTTATGGGTATCAGTTATTGAGTTTGTTTGACCTTCGATACGTTTCTATAGACATTTTAAATTGGTTTATATTTTTCAAAAATTTTTGTTTAGCTGCAAAAATAGCAAAATTTTATCATTCAAATTTTATCCACACCCAGTTTATCCACGCTTAAACAAGCACAAGAAATATAACAAAATAACAAAATAGGCCTATTTGACCAAGAATTAGTTTAATAAGAACTACTGAATGCAGCAACGATCTAAAGATTTTAAAAAAAAAGATCATAATGAAATGTAATAGCTATTGATTTTTAAACAGGATTAAACAACCTATATAAGTAAAAACCTGGACACTAATGTTCCAAAATAGTCAAGTTACCAGTAACGACAACATTTTCTAAAATAGAGCCATTTGGAATATCAATCTTATCACCATCGTTACAAACAATGATAACAGTACCCTTCAAAGTAACATTTTTACCTAACGTAACGTTACCAGTGATAGTCAAGTGGTCCAATTCTAAAATCCTTGGCATGTGGCCAATTCTAGATTGGAATCCAGAGACCTTTTTGAAATGAGATCCTAATTTAATCAATGGATTAGCGAATCCATCCCTTACAGGATCTAATTTCAAAGCACCATGTTCTAAGAAGAATAAATCAGATTTAACTAATAATAAATCAGAACATGTCTTAACTGGCAAGAATCTTGATCTTGGAACAACAACACCATGTGCCTTGTTGAAATGCTTAATAGCTGCACCTACAGCAGTTTCTAATTGTAACACGTTGATGTCCGATGAACCCTTAGAAATAGTTTTTTGGTTTGGAATGATTTCAGCCTGAATACCGTCTGCCTCAACTAATTTCTTAATGGCTCTTAAGTTAATCCATAAGTTATTAGTATTGAAATACTTAAATTTTTTGATAGATTTAAAATCTTCAACGTGTTCTTTGGCAACTTGGGCAATTTCTAATAATCTGACTTGACCTTCATAGTTAATTAAAGTACCACCCTTAACATCAGCTCTAGTTTTATCAGTTAATTCCATAATGTATTCAGCACCAGTATCAATCATATGGTCTAAAATCTTGGAGTCTACAGTTGCACCCAAATTGTCACCGTTAGAAACGAATAAGACCTCTCTACCTTGTTCTAATAAAGAATCTAATTCACCCGAAGAAATTAATGATTCAAACAAATCACCATGGCCTGGAGGGTACCAAGAATCTAAGTCATCATCAAATGATTGAGGGACTGGTAATAAGGAATCCTTGAATATTCTTGGGAATCTTGATTGATTGAAAGTTCTGACTCTAATTCTATGTCCTTGATACTTCTTAATAATCTTTTCAGTGTCAGCATCCGTGTTGAAAGAATTCATCAATAATAATGGCACATCGGCGTCATATTTTCTGTTTAAATGTTCGATTTGTCTGACAGATAAATCCAAAAATGTGTTACCATCTCTAACTTCAATAACAGACTTTGGACCAACACAACCCATTGAGGTACCTAAACCACCATTCAACTTTAAAACAGCCAATTTATCTAAATTATTAGCACCATTTTCGCTCAACGACTTGTATTCAACAACTTCATCTGGAGATGGAGATTTAACCTTCTCCCAATCTAAGGTAGAGCCAGCAGCCTTATCGGTTAAATACCTTCTGAATAATGCGAAAAAGCTGTCCATTTCATTTTCGAATCTAGATTGCTTTTCAGAATCCGCAACAGTATCAGCTAAGTTGTTCAATGCATTACGCATTTGAGAAGCTGCAATGTTCGTTGCAGTGTTGTCAAAGGCCTATGATATGTTAGTAATCGGCTACCTGTATTATGATGCTAAATTAATCAGTTTTCAAATTGGTGTTAGACCGCAATTAAATCAATCTAGCGACCAATATATATCATAACTTGTTTCGAAATCGTATTCACTTACATATGTAGACTGAGTCTTAGTATGTTTCTTTGGAGCAGTAGCAGACATATTGTAGAGTATTAATGAATTCAATTAATAATATATATAGTCGACAATTGAAAAGAAGAATATTTACACGTATAAATACACGGTCGCCTTTATGGTTAACGAGCGCCCAACCATTTAATTTTCAACAAATTTCACGTACAACCATTCGATTCTCCACCACTTATTATTTAATGCATTAAATGTGAATAGGAACCACGTAAACATATATGTATAAATTTACATTTTTATTACTTTATAGATATAATCTTTCTTATTTCAATATAACGAAAGCAGTATATGTCCATGCATTTAAAAAGAAAATGCCTTGTTAGATAGCCCTGCGTGGACCATATTAAGATGATAGCGCGGGTGCGACAAGTCCGATAAAGCAAATAGCATACAGCGTAATATATATCGTTTACATGATGGTTATCATATTGATCAGCTTATACTCAACGTTCAGTTCTTAGATTACAAGAAATTTACATGTTATATATATCTTTTAAGAGAATGTCTAATATAAGTTACAGTGGCCGAGTGGTTAAGGCGACGCCCTGCTATCAGCAGTTTAGGCGTTGGGTTTTACCTGCGCAGGTTCGAATCCTGTCTGTGACGCCATATTTTTTTCATACGTGTTTTTTAAGACGTATTCTCCTAGATATAACCCAAAAGTTTCGTTCATATTTTATTAGACGTCTTCGGCAGTGATCTTAGACTTTGATAGGTTATATTTCGTACAATGAAATCCACATAAATGAATTCTGGAATCAATTTGCAACCTGAAAATTAGTTGGCGAATCTTTTGTAGAAAACCGTTCCAATGTTTCAAAAGGATCAAAAGAAGTGGTTAATCTAAGCATATATAATAATATTCTAGTCTGCATTATACAATTTTGAACAATATTTACTGGTGTAGGAAGATTTTATTTTCTGCACTCATGATTTTGACTGAAAATGAAAAAAACTCGGACTTTATGTAAAATATCCCATTATGTGTTGATATTCTTCGTATACATACCATGATCGGTCCATCAATTCCCAAAGAAATACTAGAAGAGAGAAGAAAACAAAGTGATACTAAGAAATACACTGAAAATGATAGTAATGATGAAAGTGATGATGAGATTGTAGGGCCACAGTTACCTGAATCGTCTAGCAACATGGCAATTAATCCTGAACAGACAGCTGATATGAAAGAGAAGAAGACTTCGGACGATAACTCTAATGCAGAGGAAGACCAGAAAGTGGAGATGAAACAAAAAGAAGTATCACCAACGCCTATACGAGAAAAGCAAACATTATTATCAAAGCATAACGCCAAAAATATCGACAAGCACAAGATTACTAAATTCGATAGTAAGGAAAATCTCAACAGCGAGATAAGAAAAGAGATACTACGGAAGTTGGACCAGAATGGTGGTTTGGAAGGGAAATTCACGAGGGGTTCATAAATTTAATAAGTAATGTATGCTATTTATATTGTAGTTTTGCCGAAAACTTTATCAAGTTCATTAATCTCTGCTTCTTGCGTAGTGTTTTTCTCCTGAATTTCTGCTTTGTTAGGAGTCATGACGCCTTCGAACGAAAAGCCAGGTGCAATCCTTAATTGCTGCAGCTTTATCCAATCTTTGAAACCTTTTATGTCTTCACTTGCAGTTAGTTCCGAGCTTTTTGTTTTCATTTCTTCAATATCCTTAGTCCAGCTCTGTATATCGGATTCTGTTAAGGTCAACTTTGGCGGTATTACAGAACTACTAAGTGTTGGTAGTAATTTATTATAGTTTGTGTTCAATGTTATAGGTTTTGGTGGTTGATATGACGGATTCTTAATTAATGGCACCTGTGCCAATATTGGATCGGCTACTGAGTTAATATAAATTGATTCATTGTTAGCCATTCACATACATACGTTTCTCTGTATCTTCCATAGTATAATGAATTTAAGAATAGTATTCATACAGCATTCTGCTAGGTTTCTTCAGTCTCACGTTAATTTTGCGCTCAGATAACCTACACGTAAATTCGTAATCACTTTATCTTATGAAGTATATATAGTGCAAATTACTCTTATTAATAGAGGTAGAGATAGATTATGATTTGATGACCAAATTAACAATGTACAGCCTTTGTATATGATGACATTAACTCAATTATCCTTAAAATGACGAATTAAAATGTAGGCGTTCTCTTGCTTCAAATTAGATAAAGAACGGTATCCACCTTCTAAACACATTAATAATCCACCGAATGAAATATACACCGACATTTTATCATTGTTCGAGTTTTCTTCGAATTTGTAAACAGTTCCGTACATAACGTAATCGTAATCATCAGCGAGGGATCTATCATTGCTCTTTGGTGGTCTCCACGATCCATTGGAAGTCAACATCGATGATTCATTACCCAAAGATGATGCTAACATAATGGTTAATGAATCGTTATCTCTGACAGGGAATAATTCACTATTTATGTCCAAGGTAATCTTGATGTCTTGTGAGGTAGAAGATTGTCCTGTTATACGGGAAACTTTGTTGTATCTTGCTGAATCAACAGAATCGACATTGAACATGTCTTCAAATAAAATGCCTGACATTGTGTAGGGTTATATTAATATATATATGTAAGAGATATCAGGATTGACAGTTGTTGAATGGTCCTTTTTGGATGAGATGAAGAAAAATTTCAGTATTTAACCATTTCCGAGGATCAATGAACGTGATCCAATCGAGTTCCGAGAATAATTCAACAATGCGATGTTACCCGACCAGCATAACAACTTTACCAGGACTTTTGATACCAGGGGTCGTGAGCAGGGTCGAATCCCGGTAGTACAAGGATATATAATATAACCCTTATTGTCAGGACAAAGGTAAATAATAGAAAATTACCAAATATAGCTTTATAGCCTTTATAGCCTTTGATGAAAAGAACATTTTTTAAATCTTAAGGAAGAGAAGCATAAAAATACTACACAATCTTGCAATTCAAGTGAAATGTCGGAAACTGAAGAAAGTGGATGCTTCGAGAGAGATCTCAAGCAGGAAGCACCAAAAAAGAAGGTTGTGCAACCTAAAAGCATCATTTCCAAAAAGACAGCTATTATAGTGAACAGTGTTTTCGTCGTATCGGTTTTAATATTCTATGTATTTTCAGTCTTTCAGAACAAGAACTCCAATAATTCATTACAATCACATCATTTTGACACGAATCCAGTGGGGAATTACGAATATTCTAATTCTATAAGGCAGGAAGGAGAAAAATTTGACTTTAAACCTGAAGTGATCCGTAAAAGGGACTCCGATTCATCCAGTTCCAGCTCTAGCAAGAAAGACAAAGCAACCAAGCCTCTTGACGAGCCAGCAATAAGGTTTTTACTTGTTTTGGGAGGATTCATAGTCCTCAATATGGTTGCTATTTGCATCCACCACCTTTTTTTGAAAGCGACAAGGTCTGAAAAGTCATACAGAACAATAGAACAGAATATCTCTCCATTTTAATGATATATACGTATATATACTTAGCGTGAATAAAATCGATTGTAAAATTTGAGCTTGCTTATCACTTAACTGTTATCGCAATCGAAGTGCGAATCATCCCGAAAGACCCAATGACTTCTCTTACTAATTTTACTTCTAAGACATTGATTTAATATAAGTTAGATATTATACAGAAGTTCTTTAGAAACCACTCAGAATATAACCTGATAATATCATCAAAGAAAAGGATAAGCGTGGACATCTTTAACATGCCAACCGTTCAAATTCCATCATTAGCAAAAAGAGTTCTTCAGATATGTTGTTCAATTGCTTGGTGTTTAGTTGCAGCAGGACCAATATTCGGATTTGCTGCATTGAAGCCTATACTAATTAGTGAAGGCATCTATAGTGAAAGATGTGACGTCGGAAGCGTTAGGAATGATGCATTCGATTATTTGTCACAGAAATTTGTGCTGTATGTTAACATTGATACTTTAAGTCAGGATTTAACACCTTGTGTTGATCAGGATTTGTCATTGAATTTGATGTTTACTTTAGCTGCTGTAGTTACAAATGTCGCTGCATTACCAGTAGGGTCTATTTTAGATGAATATGGCCCACGGGTGTGTGGTATGATTGGCTCTTTCTTGATATTCTTAGCATCCTTGATATTGAAATACGGGAAAGAATTATCAGAAAACGTACCTTGGTTTGATGCTTACTTGATTGGATACTCAACTTTAGCCTTGGGCGGTCCTTTTGTATTTATATCTTGTTTTCAACTAGCTAATAGTTTCCCCAAAAACTCAGGGTTAGTGTTAGCTCTATTGACGGGAGCCTTTGATACATCACTGGCGTTGTTCTTGATTTATAGAATAATTTATACAAATATGTATAAATTGACCCTAAATCAATTCTTCACAGCATACTTGATTATTCCTGCTTTCATTTTTATTTGCCAAGTAACTGTTATGCCAAAGGACTCCTACAAAACTGTAGGTACTTTGGCAAAAATAGGTGAAACCGCAATCGATGAAACTGGTAAACCAATTGACCGTGATTTACTTAAGCCTCAGGATCGTGATGATACCGACGAAGACCAATCAGTACAAACCTATGCACCTCAACCAACAATAGGTGAAACTACATCCTTGTTAATACGCAGAGCATCTGTTCCTAGGAGGGACTCAGTGGTTCTGAGATTTTCTTATGCATCAAGAAACTCAGCCAAGTCAGTCTACGAACAAGATGCTGAAGATAAATTAATTGAATCTTCAGGTGGAGTTTTTGGAATTTTACATGGCTGCGATATTGCTGAACAATTAAAATCATCTTGGTTTATTCTCATGACATTTTTCACTACAATTCAAATGCTTAGAATTAACTACTTTGTTGCAACTATTAGATCGCAGGAATTATATTTATATAAGGGCAACGAGGATATTGCAATAAGTATTAATCACTTTTTTGATTTGGCCTTACCTTTGGGAGGCTTAATATCGATACCGTTTATCGGATTATTATTAGATAACTTAACTACATTATCAATATTAGAAATATTGACAGGAATTTCATTAGTTATTGGGGTAATGGGTTTGTTATCTTGGTTACCAGCGACATATCTTGGTATTATATTGCTTGTTGTATACAGACCGTTCTATTATACAGCGGTATCTGATTTCTGTGCAAAAGTATTCGGATTTGATACCTTTGGAACAGTTTATGGCGCAATCATTTGTTTTTCTGGTGTTTGCAATATCTTGCAACAAGTGATGGACAAAGCAACCCACGAATATTTCAACATGAACCCTATCCCAATAAATGCATTGCTTACTGTTTTGACCGCTATTTTCGGTTTTGCATTGATTGTGTTTGTAAGAACACAAGAAATGAACTTAAAAAGAAAAGATTTGGAGATCGAAGCACAAGAGGCCTCGATAAGAGATGTTCCACATTGATTAACATCGTTTTTTGTATTTGTCGTTCGTATATATCTAAACAGACTTTATAATTCTTTAATATTTAATTCAATGATTTTCTTAGCTTCCTTTTCTTCTTCTCCTGCTCCGCTACCAAATCTGGATCTAATGCTGTCAACTCCGGGAGGCTACTAACAACTGCTGTTGAATTAGGTCCAGAATTATGCACTACATGCTCCTGTAAGCGCGATCTTATATCTGAAATCATTTGTGCATTAGACACTTCAACATTCTTATCTGTTCTCGCCATAGGCAGCTTCAGTACGTGCTCCTTTCCACATTTTTCGGGAAAATTGGATAATACTTCATGCAATTTGGGATTGACTGACATTCTCTATTTTTTTCCAGCCTTTGCCTTTGCCTTCTCTTCCCTTTCGATTTGTCTTCTGGATCCCTTAATTAATTCTAAATGACCTACTCTACCAGCAATCAACTGTTCTGTCGAATTCATTAAATGTCCTTGTTGGACTTTCGTTAACTTCTTATGTTGCTTTGCAGGTGCTTTCTTTGGCTTGATAATCTTTGGTGTGGCCTTTTTAGGAGTTAACAGTTTCTTAACAACTTTCTTAGGTCCGCTAGCTTTTAATTTCAAATTACCTTGAGCCATTTGTACGAATAATATCTATATACTTAGCGTCTATATACTGTTAATATTTTAATGATCATCTCTTCTATTAGAAGCGCATCGCGGAAATCGTTTTACACGACTATCCAAAAATTTTTTTAGGTGACTCCGATTAATTAGACTAATTATGCGAAATATATAAATGAATCATTGGCGGGTACCAAATTTTATTCTCAGTGGTTTGATAGTTGTTAAGGTATTTCCAACCAATTGTACTATCTAGTCAAGTAGTAATTCAGATCTTTTGAACGTACTAAAATGAGTAACGAAAAATATCTCATTTTACCAGGTCCAAAAGCCTTATCTCCTTTTAGGGTTAACAATTTAGTTCAAGAAATTGAAAAGAAATTGAATAAGCCTTCAGTTGTTAA